GGCAGGGGGTGTGTGCCTGGCTCAGGTTCCCTCCGACCAGGCTCTGGCGTGGCTGATGCCTGTGGGGCAGTCTCCCCATGGTGCCCAGGGAGACCCTGCCCTGCGGACGGAGCAGAGCCGTGGGCATCGCAGCCGGGACGTGTCTGGCCTGGACATGATGCCAGCTGAGCCCGGCCGGGGATCCGGCCCGCTCTCCCTCCCTGTCCATTTCAATGGCTGCTAATGGGGCTTCCCCTCCCCACCTGTGTTGGCAGTGGACCTTCCCCACCAGGGTGGCCCAGGGATGTGGCGATGGGACCCTGGGGGCTGTGAGTCCCTTTATTCCGCCCTCCTCCCCCACCCCGTGCCTGTCACATGGCCATGGAGGCTGGGGGTCCGTTCCCAGGTCCTTCCAGCTGCTGGCCATTGGCTCTCCCTGGCCCCTTGCCCCTGACAGGCAGCGTCTGGGGGTCTGGGTGGAGTCCATGTCCCATCCTCCTCCCCTCTCTTTGGCAGACCCCCCCGAGGTCTGGATCGATTACCAGGACGTGCCGGTGCAGCAGGGCGAGAATGTGAACCTGACGTGCCACTTCATGGGAGAGCCGCTGGCGCAGGGCCACTGGATCGTACCCGACGTGGGGCCAGAGCCCCTCATCATCACCAAGGCAAAGATGATACGGTCCCGTCTGGGGCTCAGAGGGACAGCGGCCAGTCCCGGGACCCTGTTGGGGCTGGCTGAAAACTCCAAACTGCCCATGTCCTGGGGAAATCTGTTATTTTCTAGGCATCCAAAATTTCTAATTTTGGGGGAGAAAATTGAAAAGAGCCATCCCCCGTTTTTCAAGGAGGAAAGTTTCTTTGAAAATGTTTCTACCGGTTCCTCTTGTGCACCCCAATCTCCGCAGCCACATGGGGACCCTTCGCCGAGCTCCATGGAAATACTCTGTACAGACGTGTTCGTCTCATCCCCCAAAAGATACATCAGCATTGGAAAAGGTTCAGAAAAGGGCAACAAAAATGAGGAGGGGTTTGGAACGGGTCCCATATGAAGAGCGATTAAAAAGACTTGGACTTTTCAACTTAGAAAAGAGGAGACTAAGGGGGGATAGGAGAGAGGTCTATAAAATCATGACTAGTGTGGAAAAAGTGATTAAGGAAAAGCTATTTACTTTTCCCCACAATATAAGAATGAAATGAAATGATTAAGTAGCAGGTTTAAAACAAACAAAAGGAAGTTTTTCTTCACAGCCAACCTGTGGAACTCCTCGCCAGAGGATGGGGTGAAGACTAGAACTTTAACAGGGTTCAAAAAAGAGCTAGATAGATTCATGGAGGTTAGGTCCATCAATGGCTATTAGCAAGGATGGGGAGGAATAGTGTCCCTAGCCTCTGCTTGTCTGTAAATGGGTGACAGGAGAAGGATCACATGAGGATTACCTGTTCTGTTCCCTCCCTCTGGGGTATCTGGCATTGGCCACTGTCGGCAGACAGGACACTGGGCTAGATGGACCTTTGGTCTGACCCAGTCTGGCCGTCCTCATGTTCTTAAATATAGCTCCCTGCTCACCAGCTCTCTGGGCGCTGCAAAGTGTTCAGCAGCAGCAGCACGGCCCAATGGCAAGAAGCCACACAGTGGAAGCGGAAGGTGCATGGGCTGTGCAGCCTTACACCGATAGTCCATCCCAGGCTTAGAAGTCTGGCTGACTGCTCTGTGCCTCAGTTTCCCACATGGAGGAGGGTTATCCTTGTTTCAGAAAGGATTCCTCAGCTGGGTGGTGCTGGTGAGGTACTGTAGGACCTCCATTGTTTGAATGCCAACCCGTGTTCCCTCTAATTTTTTCTTTCCATGTGCGGAATAAATGTATTCTGTGCACCGAGACGTGTGGAGGAGCACCAGAGTAGAAACACCTGCTGCCAGCTGTGGACACTCTGCTCATCAGCTAAGCAGTGTTTGACTCTCTCCTGGGTAGCTGCCCAAGTGCTCAGATTACAGGGAACACTGGTGCCAACACCCCCTCCCCAAACTGCCTCTCTGTGACTATCTATCAGCAGAGACTATGGAGTATTTCTACGTACAAGTGTGCCCAGCACTTCATACACTGGGGTCTGACTCTGGGCCTTTGGGTGCTAGTACACCACAAATAACAGTCACGATGTAATAGTAACATACAGTGACTGAGATCAGGGCTGCTGCGCTCGGTGCTGTACATACGTGTTGGGAAGGACAGCACCAGAGCTGTAGAGGTTGTAGACTGGACTAGGGGTGGGAGGAGACTCAGTGGCACAGAGAAAGTGATTGGTTGGCTTAGGATCATGCAGCAGGGAGTGAACAGAACCCGGGTGTCCTGCAGCATTCTCACTATTTTTCCCCATCCATGTGTGGAATACATTTTGTTCTGCGCACCAAGGCATGTGTGGATGTGCACCACCCATAGCAATACATGTTGCCAGCTGTGGGTGCTCTGCTAATCAGCTGGGCAGCATTTGAATCTCTCCTGGGTGGGTGCCCAAGCACTCAGATTGCAGGGAACGTTGGTGTCCTGTGTCCCAGCCTAATTCTCCAACCGCTGCACCGTCTTGTGCCTTTTGTGAGCTAGGCAGTCCACAGGGCATTTCATACAACCTGTGGGCCTAAATACTTGCAGAAAGAGGGATATTTGCGTCCAGTTCACTGGTGCTGAATTTGCCCTGTGCAGACTGGTGTCAGAATAGCACTGCTGTGTGTCCATCTCCCTATACTGGTGGTAGTGAGTGGTGATTCTCCCATAGTTCAGGCTTTTCCCGATCGGGCATGAGCTTTTGGAGTTGCAGATAAGAGTGTGTCACAGCAGTGGCGTCCTAGCAGGCTGCACTTTCTGTCCCTGCAGACATCAGACTCAGAAATCACCCTGCAGATCTTCAACGTCTCCTCCAGCTTTAACCGAAAAGACATCACCTGCCGGGCTGAGAACGAGGCGGGCCCCAGTGAGGAAGCCGTGCAGCTGAATGTCACATGTAAGTGGCATGCAGGGCAGCTGGAAGCAGGGTGTATGACAATGAGAATGGCCTAGTGGCTAGAGGGACTACGTGCAAGTCTGCCCTCTGCCACAGATTTCTTGAGTTTCCTTGGGCAAGTCACTTCACTGCAGCCCATGGAGATGTACCTGAACTAGTTTGGATCTAGCTAGCTGGCCCAGCCTGAGCGCCCACTCGCCTTCTCTCCCGCAGTCCCGGCCGTGATCGTGCACCTGCAGGAAGCGATCCCGCAGCACTACTGGTGCATCCCCTTCTCGGTGGACGGCAACCCTCCTCCGGCCCTGCGCTGGCTCTTCAACGGCTCTGCCCTGGTGGAGGGGCCCTACATCCACACCAAGATCGTGGAGTATGAGCACAACTCCACCGTGGCGCACGGCTGCCTGCAGCTGAACCGGCCCACCCATGTCAACAACGGGAACTACACGCTGCTGGCCCGCAACCCGCTGGGGAACGACACCCGCACTGTCCTGGGGCGCTTCATGGACAACCCCTTCAGCTTCAACCCCGAGGAGCCCATCGTGGGTAGGGATCCCCTTCCCCCACCGCGGGGCTGAACTCCCCTCCCCGCTGAGCCTTTCATGCCACCTAGGGCGAGTACTAAGGTGGGGGAGGAATTACTAAGAGCAGGGGTGGCCAACCCATTAAAGAAAGAGAGCCAAAACAGCAGCAGAAAAAATGTGAAGAGCTGCACCAGAATTGCTGAGGAAAAAAAAAAAAAAAGCTGCCCCTTTAAAAAAAAAAAAAAGCTGCCCCTTTAAAAAAAAAAAAAAGAATGTTGCCCCTTTAAAAGCCACAGGTTGGGCTTTTTGGCCACATCAGGTTCTCGCCATCTTGCCAATGCTATTTTGCTGTTCTGGATGGCTCCCCTGCACCCGGTGTTCACAGGGAGTCGGGGGCCGTTTGTAGGGGTGCATAAGGCGGCTTTGCCTTCCACAGGGGAGGCTTCGCAAGCTGTACTTTCGGGGTGAAGAACTGCACCCGGCTCACGAGCTGCAGGTTGGCCACCCCTGGCTTAGAGGAGGGAGTAGCTAGGAGGAACAGATTCCTGGCTCTGCCACTGCCCTACCGTGTCATCTCAGGCAAGGCCTGAACTCACTCCGTGCCTCAGTTTCCCCTCCCACCCGTTTTGGATTGAGTCTATACCATGCCCCACATGATGGGGCCCTCACCTCCTCTAGGGGGTGCTCTAGCAATACAGCTAATAATACTCCTCATTACAGGCTTGCTTCCCCTCTCCCTACGGGGCCATGAAAGATCTTGAAGGTTATTAGTGGAGGTGGGTTGAGAGACCGAAGCTTATAGGGGTTAGACCTGGCCCGTGCCTGGAGCAGCCTCTTGCACCAGTGCCAGACGGGTGTGAAAAGCCATTGCACGGCTGGCACCCATTGCACACCGAGTCTGCGAGGGGCAGGGCAGCTGTGGGAGTTGGGGCGCTGTGTCCGCCTCCCTCTCCCTGCTCCGCTTCAGAGCGGGGGCAGGTGGGTGATTCAGCAGGGGTCCAGGTGTCTGAGTTCCCTCCTGCTCACCCCAGTTTCACACCAGAGTCACTCCCTTGAGGTTCACTCCGGATTTGCGCCGGAAGGAAATTCAGGCCCTGGGCTGGGGTTCTGCAAAAAGTCAGCTGAGACTGGCCCGATCCGGTTCCGCCTCCCCCGCTGGGGTGCTGTGATCGGGATTGGATTCTGGCGGGGGGGCACCAGGGCAGGGATCCAGGGAGCCGGTGCTGATGCCGTTCAGCAAGTAACAATGCTTTTCCTCCCCGTTTCCTTGCTGCCGCAGTGTCCCTGCCACCGGTGGGTGAGTATTTCCCAGGTCACAGCTGCTCCTCTGTCCCCCAGCTTGAATTTTCCGATGCTCCTGAGCGGCTCTGTCCACCCAGCAGGGTTGCATCCCACCTGCCCGCTCCAGATCCTTCCCACTTACCAAGCCCTCCTACAGGAGAAGCCGGAGGGTCTGCGGTGCAGGAGGCTGAGTTATTGCAACTAGGGCTGCTGCTTGTCTCTTGCCTTCCACTCAGGGTGGGGGGGG